TTGAAGGTTAAGGGGGGGTGATTTGATTTCTAAATATAGTACAAGTACAAATTAGTACGCTACAGTATAGCATGGCCTTGCCTCTTATGAAAATAGGCTGTGATGCCAAGAATCTGGGGACCATCGTGGTAGATTCGAAAAGTGTCTGGCCATTGGCCCGTCCGACCAACTTGTTCAGCCGTGTCATCGCACTGCACATGGCCCGGGTCCGCCACGCACTTCACTGACGAGTCTGGGCTGGTTCCAATAGTGACTGTTGTGCCTGCGCAACGAAACGTGAAGGCTTCCTAGGAAAAGAAATGGTCCCTTGCCAATTTTTGCCAAAACCAAACCCCCAATGGGTTGGGCTCCCGCCCCCCTTAAAGGGCCCCTTAAAATGGTGCCTTATCTCAATCTCTTAAATGCGTAGCGAAGGGTTCTCGTGGCGAGTGTCCGAAAAGAGTGTCTCCCACAAGAGTGCTGCAAGTGTCCAACAAGAGTGCCCCACAAAAGCGAGTGTCCCACAAGAGTGTCGTGCGAGAATGTCCCGCAAAAGTGTTCCATGTTCTCACATGAGCGTCTGCCACAAGAGTATCCTACAACAGTGTCCCGCAAGAGCGTCCCGCAAGAGAGTGTTCCACAAGAGTGCTGGACAAGAGTATTCCACAAGAGTGTCCCACGAGAGTGTCCTAAGTCCTACAAGAGTCTCCCACAAAAGTGTCCCGCAAGAGCGTCCCACAAGTGTGCCCCACAAGAGTGAATGTCCCACACAAGTGTCGCAGGAGAGTGCCCCCCAAGAGTTTTCCACAAGAGCATCTGCCACTACAACAGTGTCCCGCAAGAGTGTCGCACGAGAGTGTCCCACAAGAGTTTTCACAAGAGTGTCCCGCAAGAGTGTCCCATAAGAGTGTCCCACAAGAGTGTCTCGTACAAGAGTGTCCTACAAGAGTATCCCACAAGAGTATCAAGTAATGGTTGGCCGTGTGGGCATTCGGGTTCGTGCATCTTGTGTCCTTCATCAGGTAGCCCCACACTTAAGACTTTTGTTTCATTACCATACACCTTGTCCGCAAAGCCTGCCATTGAGGTTGTCAAAGTCTCCAACCACTAGCAGAACGAACTTTCTAAAACCGTTGCCAAAGCCACCAGGAGGATGACCACCAATGGAGCCACCGCCACCATAACTTTCTCTGCATTCCAAAATAAGATCCAGGCCCCAACCAGCGTTTGCATCAGTCCGACGTGCACAAATCCTGGGTTAGGTGGGTTGCGTTGGTTGGAACAGTTTTTGCTTCGACATCTAGTGCAGCAGTTTCCAGGCATTTTGAAACTCATGGACAAAGTGCCTGCCAAGCGTCTTAGGACCTTCATGGTATATGTGAAATGTGTCTGGATACTTGCCCGTCCGGCCCAATTGTTTGGCCGTGCTGTCACACTGGACATTTGCGGGAGCTTCCACACACTTGACTGGTGATTCCATGCTGCTTCCAATGGTCACAACTCTTTGGTTTCCACCTGGCACAGTTC